AGTGTCCTCAGTGTACCGTAACGCTGAAGACGCCTGCACATCCCCGCAGCTATGATATTTTAAAGAAACACTGGCAAGTGAACTCGTCAGGGAACCTGGCGTATTATGTTATTAAAGTATTGTCATGCATGAGTTCACCCGCAGAACGCAAACCCTCATTCATTCCTGTACCTACAGGGTGCATCTGTGCGAGTTATGGGGTAACATTATCACCCTGGGAGACGCGTGAATTGTTTGCCTGATGTAAAGAGAGAGAGAGAGAGAGAGAGAGAGAGAGAGAGATGCTGGCTATTCGTTTCACTCAGCTGCGTTTGAGTGTATCATCTACAGATGAACGATGGTGCAAGAGACCACAGCGTTAATGGAGAGTATCTTGGGCTTTACTTGTTCTAAACATACTGAAACATATGTGTGCATACAATATATAGGCTATAAAAATGTGTTATTTGAAGAAAAAAAAAAGAAGATTGCATGGCTACCCAGCACTGGGTTGAATTTAACCCAGCATTTTTTAGAGTGTATATAGATAGATAGATAGATAGATAGATAGAGGAATTCTTAACTTTTATGCTCTTATGCAAATTGTGAAATATTATTATCATTTAAAATAACGTTTCTATTTGATTTTGTTTTAAAATATTCTTATTCCTGTGAACCAAGCTGAATTTTCAGCATCATTACTCCAGTCTTCAGTGTCACATGATTCTTCAGAAATCATTCTAATATGCTGATTTGCTGCTCGATTATTATCAGTAATATTGGTGCTCAGTTATTAATAATGGTTCGTATTACTATCTATGTATGTCGAAAACAGATTTTGCAGCTTAATGTTTTTGTAGAAACTGTGACACATTTTTTTCAGGATTCTTTGAATAGTTATGTGAATAGTATTTACTTGAAAAACATTTATTTTGTAACAAAATAAATGTCTTTACTGTCACTTTAGATCAATTCAATGCATGCTCGCTGAATTAAAGTATTAATTACATCTTTTTTAATAATATTTGCCCCAAACTTCTGAATGGTAGTGTATCACAGTTTTCAAAAATATTAAGAAAAACTGGTTTCAACATTGATTTCTGAAGGATCATGTGACACTGAAGACTGGAGTAATGATGCTGAAAATTCAGCTTTGAAATCACAGGAATAAATTACATCTTAAAATATATTAATACAGAAAAAAGTTCTTTTAAATTGTAATAATATTTCACAATAATACTGTTTTTACTGTATTTTTGATCAAATATATGCAGCCTTGGTGAGAATAAGAGGCTTCTTTCAAAAACATTAAAAAACATCATAATCTACACCTTTTGGCAGGCAGTGTACTGTATATGTTTATACATCTGCAAATCAAGAGTTGGGGACAAAAATTGTGATTTAGTAAAACTAAAAATATATATAAAAAAAGTAAAAATCTCAATGCCTCTTGCTTTTCAGTGAGTTACATAACTTATGGTCGTATGAAACGCTAATTTATACACATTTACAGACAATTTATACAAATTCTCCATAAAGGATATTCATTGGCATACAATAGTGAACTGTAGAGAACCAATGTAATGTTTTCTAAACTGATCCACATAAGTATCTCAATATGAGATGAGAAAAATCAATACAGGAATAAAGAATGAGAAAAGACATCCAAGTCTGTATTACCACATACCATGCATCTTCATCTCAAAATCTATAAGCAGCAATCTCTGGCTAAATATTCCAACAACCAACAACACTTTCAATCATCATCGCGACAGAGGCTTACCTCTTGTTGTATATACACACCATATCTCACAGCATTCATCTCCATACCTACACGTGAAAATCAAAGAAGGTGTGTGTGGTTAAGTGCTCTACTTGCTAGTGTTTAAATGAACCTGTTTGCTATGGGGTAACCTTTAGAGAATCTGTTTTAAAAAGGGAATGTTGTTGAAAGAATCAGGCGTGTTGTTAAATATGAGAATAAAGATATATATGAATACTCACTATACTGACGGACAAAAGTTTGGAATAAGTACAATTTTTTTATATATATATTTTTGAAAGACATCTCTTATGCTCACCAAGGCTGCACTGATTTGATCAAAAATACAGTTATATTGTGAAATATTTAAACAACTGTTTTCTATGGGTCTGAATACTTTCCGTACCCACTGTATATATATATATATTTTTTTTTATTCCTGTGATGGTGAAACTGAATTTTCAGGATCATTACTCTGATCCTTCAGAAATCATTCGAAGAAAGAAAGAAAGAAAGAAAGAAAGAAAAGATTTCTGTTTCAGGTAAATGCTTTATATAAAAAATATTAAGCAGCACAACTCTTTTCAACATTGATAATAATAATAAATGTTAGAATGATTTCTGAAGGATCATGTGACACATGACGCTAAAAATTTAGCTTTGCTGAATATTTCACAATATTACTGTTTTTACTGTTTTTCTGATCAAATAAATGCAGCCTTGGTGAACATATCACTTCTTTCAAAACATAAAAAAAAAATCATTCTTCCAAAATTTTGACTGCCAATGTATAATTATTTTGTTGCTAATCAAATTAAATACTCATCTAAGATTTATGAGTGTGTTTAGAGGTAACGTGCTTCAACATGGGTTATGTGCATTTAAACTCTTTTTACACATCATGACATATTTTGCTATATACACTCTTAAAAATAAAGGTGCTTCAAAAGGTTCTTCAAGAGATGCCATAGAAGAACCATTTTTGGTTCCACAAAGAACCATTCAGTCAAAGGTTCTTTAAAGAACCATCTCTTTCTTACCTTTTTGTAATCTGAAGAACCTTCTTTCGCCACAAACAACCTTTTGTGAAACAGAAAGGTTCTTCAGATGTTAAGGTTCTTTATGGAACCATTTAGACAAAAAGGTTCTTCTATGGCATCGTGAAGCACCTTTATTTTTAAGAGTGTAGTTATAATGCATATAGCTTAAGTACAGTACATGACCTCTGAACACACTGACAAATCCCTGGGCAAGTATGTACAGTAATTTGATAAGCGGTGATTTTCTTCAGCACTGTTTAGGAGTTAAACTTTATGAACAAAGCTGTGTTTGAATAGCTCACGTACCTTTAGATCGAAACATTAGGTGATTATTTGGCACATATGGGCTGGCATTTACCTGCAGGCACATGCAGAGAGATTAAAGGTGACTCATGCGCACTTACAGTATCATCATATGGCCTGTGAATACAAGCGCTGCATCAAATAAAACCTGAAACCCTGATTAATGCACTCTTTTGTGATTCATAACACATGATACTGACAAAGAAAATGACATAGCCTCGTATTTCTCATGAAATGATTGTAGGATGCAACTCTGCACGGGAATTTCTCCCATAAAACTATTCAGCATTAAAATGTGTGCGCATTACTAGCTTTATATCAGATTGAATTTATGTGTGCATTGAATTAATGTGCCTGTGGTTTAGGAAATGTATGGATTTATGTATACTTACACGTTACTGACAGACCAAGAGCAAATTTGCATAGGTCACAGCATGACTCTCTAAGCACAAATACAAGATCTCCATCTTGTGGCCACAGGGATGACGACAACAAAAGAATGCAACTGGTTTCAGCATTACTTCAACAATAAACAATGCTTATTTAAATAGCAATCAACATAAGACAAAGGACAATCAGGTACTGTGTGGCCTGAGAGAGACCACAGATAAAATCAATCACTCCTTTCAAAATCAATTACTAAACCGTTTGAACGTGTATTCTTAATTAAATTAAATTAAATTAAATTAAATTAAATTAAAATTTTCACACAATAAGCAACATCAGACAAATAAATATAGAATTCTGAAAATATTATTTTTAAAAAATTTAACAGTAAAAAGGCTGTGAAAAAATTCACAAGAAAAGTCAGTAAAATAAAGCACACTGTAATATGAAGGAATTTTACATATTGATTTTTCCACAGGTGTTTTTTCTAATATTTTGAATATTTTGAATCATGCACTGTTGTGTTGTAGGTTGAATGTAAATGTCCATAAACTTAATGTCCCCGCAGAAAATTATCAGTACTTTTTCTATGGATTCTAGATTTTCTACCATTGTTGTTTTGGTTTTGTTTATTGTTATAATTCAGAATGAACATATATTTCAGTAGCTAAAAGATGCATTCATAAGGTAAATGTATAACTTCTTATGGTAAAAGGTTAACAGATGGGAAGAGACTATCACACAAGAAGCGAAGAGTGTGTGTGTGGCAGACCGTATTTAGAACAAGGCCTTCTAGAAGCTGACAGTAACTTTGACACTATAATCACAACCACATCACGTCATGTTATTTCTACTAACACTTCTGTGTGAAGAGATCTGTGCAAAGGATCAGAGAAACAAGTGTTTCAGTATGTCTACAAAGATTCCATCTGTTCAAAGAACACCATTCCATGCCAACCATCCAATGCATGTATATTTTTTGTGTGATAAGTTGGTAGGGAAATATCAGATTCAAAACTGCAGTTCAAGCATACATGAGTTAATGCCATCAGATACACACATATATAGAACATTTTGCTTTTCTAGTGCTGCTATATATGCAACAGGACCTACGTAAAGTATCTAAAAATCAAAAACAGTTTCTGTATGATGGAGCTAACATATAATGGGTGTGACACGGAACATATACAAACTTGTGATGCATAGACTAAATAACACCAAATAAAGCAATGATAAATTAAACGAATTAAATTATAAACTCACCAGAGCCAGCATTGTTGAACTCGCAGCAGGTGATAAGGAAAGAGGTCTTTCAGCATGAAGATGTGCTTACCTGATTTAATAAATGATTTCTTAGTTGTATCGTTGTAATTTTTATAAGTTGTGTACTTGTGTAAAAATGTCCCTTTCTTCTCTGAAAGTTATAGTTTTGTTGTTTAACCAGCATCTTTGCTAGTAAGCGCGTTCGTTACTGGCCTGGTGTTATTCCTCCTGCCTTTAGAGGGCGCTGTAACACTGTATATCGCAGTGCTGGCTAAATAAAATGCGGAAAGAATTATGGCAAAGTATTTAAATACCACAACACACTCGCATGACGGGTTCTGATAGTTCCTGATGGGAAGCGAATAGTCTTCAACGCCTTTTATAGTCCTGTTGTTGTGTCAGGTGCTGCTAAATCACACCGTGCTGTGAAGTGCTAGTGTTTGGGCATGTTCGCGTGCGCTTTTGTGAAGCTCTCTACTCTCTAGTTAAGCAAAATTTCAAGGTACACTTCGTGTTTTTTTTATATTAACCGTGCAAAATGAAAAGCTGCGTTTCCGTGTTTATTGCTCTCTTCGCTGTAAACTGTTTTTCGCTGGAAGGCTCGAGTCAGTTGCTCGGCAGGAGAATCTCTAAATTCACTACGGTAAGGGTGTTAAATATTGTGCTCAGACTGTTTTTATATATATATAATTCATTTAAATTGTCATTTGTTCATTATTCTCATCGAATAGGTGTGGGGCTTTTCTTGGCAAAACTGCGGTGCACAAGATGATCCTGCAAAGATGAAGAGTCTCAGTATTTCTCCAGATCCCATTTCCATCCCGGGACAGCTGACAGCAGCGGCGTCGGGCTCCACATCAGTAGCGCTGACATCTCCTCTCTCTGTAAGATAGAGACATTTATCAGCATTCTAGAAATCCCGAGCCCATTTTGATTTTCGTTTGGGACACAACAGTTCATGTTTTTGTAGGGGGCATTTTTTTGTGTGTGTGTGTGTTAATATCTCTAAAGGCAAATATCCAGGTAGATGTTAAGCTTTTCAGAGATGCCAAAAGTTTGCCCATGACAACTTCCTCTTTTTGGTTTTTAGGAAGTCACTAGCTGCGTCCCAAATCGCGTACTTATGCACTATTCTATGCCGTTTTGTAAGCATACATAGTGCGAGTAGTGCGTTCACACTGAAAATTCCAAAAAGAAACAGTGCACTTTAAGTACCCGGATGATGCACTTAACCGAAAAAATGAAGTGTGGAATGTTGGACACTTCATGCACTCAACTGCAGCAGCTTTAATTACGTAGCGAAGGGGGAGGGGCTATCAGACTCCGATTATGAATGACAGAATAACTTTATGTAATTCATACTCTGCATGGTTGAGTACATAGTGCTTAAGTACATAGTGTATGAGTGCATAGTGTATAGTTCGTCATTTGGGACGCAGCTACTATTCCGTATTTTTTTCGTAGGAGGAGGAACTCTACTGTACTGTGCTTGTCACTTATTTATAATTTATTAATTTACAAAAAAAATCTATGAAATATGAGATGCATGCTAAAACAAAATTAGGAAAACACCCAGATTTTACTTTGATTTATACAGATAGGAGCAATAAATCAGGAAGTAATTTGATATATTTTTAAAAAAATAATTTGAATTTAAAGCAACCGTTTGTAATTCCTCTGTGTGCTAGTATGCTTAGGAAAAAGTTTATGTAACCTTCCCCCATCTTTCTCCACTTCTTGCTTTCTCCGTCTGTGGAGTTTTCGTTCTGCTTCCAAGCCAATGAGGTCAGGAATGTATTGGCAGCCGGTTACTGATGTTCCCCCTGCGCTCCAGCTCACTGTTCATATGAAGAACTGCTGATTCTGCCATTAATGCTAGCATGTTTTGAATACTGTATTTGCAGTCTTTGGCCCAAAACATATGTATGTAAGTAGATTAAATGTGTCATTGCCACACATGTACGTATTCTCAGTCTTGCCACAAGGGGTGCTGCAAGCAGGTATCATATCTGTTGTTTCCTTTTGAAGTAAGGAATGACCTAATGTCATGATGGAGCAGTAGTTTGGATAGATTCTGGCCACTTTATTAGGTACACCTTGCTAGTACCGGGTTGTACCCCCTTTTGCCTTCAGAACTGCCTTAATTCTTCGTGGCATAGATTCAACAAGGTGTTGGAAACATTCCTCAGAGATTTTGGTCCATATTGACATGATAGCATCACGAAGTTGCTGCAGATTTGTCGGCTGCACATCCATGATGCGAACCTCCCGTTCCATCACATCCCAAAGGTGCTCTATTGGATTGAGATCTGGTGACTGTGGAGGCCATTTGAGTAAAGTGAACTCATTGTCATGTTCAAGAAACCAGTCTGAGAGGATTTGAGCTTTGTGACATGGTGCATTATCCTGCTGGAAGTAGCCATCAGAAGATGGGTACACGGTCGTCATAAAGGGATGGACACGGTCAGCAACAATACTCAGGTAGGCTGTGGCATTTAAACGATGCTCAATTGGTACTAAGGGGCCCAAAGTGTGCCAAGAAAATATCCCCCACACCATTACACCACCACCACCAGCCTGAACCGTTGAGACAAGGCAGGATGAATCCATGCTTTCATGTTCTTTACGCCGGATTCTGACCCTACCATCTGGATGTCGCAGCAAAAATCGAGACTCATCAGACCAGGCAACGGTTTTCCAATCTTCTATTGTTGTAAACCCTAGAGATGGTTGTGCGTGAAAATCCCAGTAGATCAGCAGTTTTTGAAATACTCAGACCAGCCCGTCTGGCACCAACAACCATTCCACGTTCAAAGTCACTTAAATCCCCTTTCTTCCCCATTCTGATGCTCGGTTTGCACTTCAGCAAGTCGTCTTCACCACATCTAGATGCCTAAATGCATTGAGTTGCTGCCATGTGATTGGCTGATTAGCAATTTGTGTTACCAAGCAATTGAACAGGTGTACCTAATAAAGTGGCCGGTGAGTGTATATATATATATATATAATAATTATTATTATATTTTTTATGAAAAAATAATTGATAGTTGCATCTTGGCTTAATTTTCACTATAATTTCTGATTTCCAAAATTGTCAAGTTGTAATGCTACTGTAATGCAAATACTACAATGACATTTAACAACAACAACAAAAAAACCAGACAGGCTTAGGAATGGAGTTCAGAGGTTCCCGGTCATTCTCGTGACCTAGTTTATGCTAGTGAAATAAATGTTTTATCCCTGAATCTTTGGCTGGCTGTCTGTCTTGTTGTGACTATCACAAGAGGCTGTAAACCTCCATGATTGTCACTTTTTATAATTTGTGCCTCCATAAGCCATTGTTAAATTCCATGTTCGCACCATGTTATTTGTTTCAGGTGAACGTGACGCTGGAAAGAGAAATAGCAGGTTTGTGGGTGAAAATACCGTGTCTGGATGAAATAGGAAGTTGTCATTATCCTAATGCCTGTGACCTGCTCGATCAGCTCATCCCGCCAGGACAGGACTGTCCTGAGCCTCTGCACACATACGGCCTGCCCTGCCACTGCCCATTCAAAGCTGTGAGTGTGTCCCGATTCAGGAGATTTTACTCAACATGCAAGTGTTTATGGGTTAATAATGTCTTCTTATTGTGACCAAAAAATCTGTCTTGCATTTTAAGAGGCATAACATTTGTCATATCATTTTTCCAGGGAGATTATGCTTTGCCATCATCAGAAATCGTCATACCAGACGTTGAACTGCCTGGCTGGCTGACCAATGGCAACTACAGAGTACAGAGCATTTTAGGAAGCTCTGAGAAAGAACTGGGATGCCTCAAAATCAGCTTCTCATTGCATTTCTCCAAGAAGTAAAAGAAAAGCAGTATTTGATTATTCTATAGGACTTTTACTTAAGATTCTCTTTTAACTTTTTAGAATGATGAATTTTCAGTCATAATAAGCATATTTCTTTTTAACTAATGATAAATCTCATTGAATTGTTTTTAAATGATTGGTGGAAGTTGTAAATATTGTTCACATCAGTTTACTTTATAATCCACTGGACTGCACATTTTGGTTTTCCTTTTTTTTTTTTTTTTACTTATTTTAATTAACATGTTAACAATGCTTTGTCTAGTTTTAACTTCTGCTTTTGTGATTTGTTTTTGTTCTCTGGGGTTAACAACGTTCAGTGTCAAGGTGGAACTAAGTTTCTCAGTTTTCTTTAAAGGGGAAATTTCTGTTTTTTGTTCTTAATAAACATTCAAACATTCAAGTGTTTAGTAGTTATGTTTTATAATGTATAATGATAAAATTATGCTATAAATTGTATAATAAATTATTTATAGATAGATAGACAGATAGATTTATTTGAGATAGATAGATAGACAGATATATAGATTTATTTGAGATAGATAGATAGATAGATAGATAGATAGACAGATATATAGATTTATTTGAGATAGATAGATAGATAGATAGATAGATAGATAGATAGACAGATATATAGATTTATTTGAGATAGATAGATAGATAGAAAAATTTATTTGAGTCAACATTTATTTGAGATAGATAGATAGATAGACAGATATATAGATTTATTTGAGATAGATAGATAGATAGATAGATAGACAGATATATAGATTTATTTGAGATAGATAGATAGATAGAAAAATTTATTTGAGTCAACATAATTTGAATTTTGAGAAGATAATACAAGAAATGTGTCAGTAATTTATTCTTATTTTATTTCAATTTATTTATTTTTTTAAGTAAAAGGCTGTCTTTACAAATGGGCTGTTGATTCATTGATGCACCAAGTAGTTCAGAACACAGATTCATTCAGAAATGAAACGCTGCTGAGTGTTGCTTGGAGATGCATAACGGTTCTGCTGTAAGAATTTAGTAATACTAGTGAAAATTGAAAAACAGACAATATTGTCTAAAATATTAATAACTTATTAATATTTTACATTAACCATGGTTTTATTATAGCCTAGTAAAATTGTATTTGGCGTATTTGATTCACATTATATATTTTTCTAACTAATTAATTAAATTATATATATTATATAAAATATATACAATTTCATATATATTCAGATAGTATATGTCACTAAATAATCCTAACTTTTAAAATAACAATCTTATATCAGTGCTGTATTCCTCAAACATGTGACAGAGTAGTGTTTAAAGGAGCCTAAATTATATATATATATATATTATTATAAATTTTTTAAGCTATCGTTACCATCATCCATTGACCATTGTTTTAAACGGGTTCTTATGGTGCTGTGCGAATCAGCCTGTAGAGGTCGCTGTACAACGCTGTATAATTGTTTTCATAAATGACAAAAAGAATCACGGAAAAAAAACATATTTCATTACCATAAGGAACTCAAATGACAAACAGTTCCTTAAGTGTCTTTGATATGGCATAGATCGCATTGGTGTTTCACCTCTTCATATCATATGACTTTATTCATATCTTTAACTTTAAGTAAATACAAATGAGATAATTACCCAAAAATGAATGGTGACTACTGTAAATCAGCCGTGCGAAATGAAAAGCTGCATTTCCGTGTTTATCGCTCTGTTCGCTGCCAGCAGTATTTTGTTGGATGTCTCGAGCAAATGGCATAGCAGGAGAAGCTTTGCATTTACAAAGGTAAGAACGTGAGATATTGAAATGAGATTGTTTTAATACAGTTTTAGTGTTCCTTGCATCGCCACATGCTACAGTACTTTCTCTTACTGAATAGTTCAGAGGCTTTTCCTGGGAAAACTGTGGAAAGCCAGACGACCCTACATATGTGCAGACTCTTCATGTGTATCCAAACCCAATTCCTTCACCGGGATGTGTATGTAATAGCAGCTGCATCTGCGCTCTCCCTTCCCTGTGAGTTCAACTGATGACAACTGACCTACTCACGTGATCTTTTACCCTTCAAATTGAGATTCTATTATAGTTTTTATTAATATTTTATTTAGTGTTTTATATAATGTATTGTGTCAAAGTATATGTATTGTTAAATGTGTTTTAATCATTTGTATTCGTTTTTTTAGGTTTTATATATCTATATTGTTTTTATAATTTTTTATTTCAGTGTTAATTTTAGTGATTTTAGTACATGGTTAAACTAAATTAAAATGAAAAATGTAGTGCTGAAATAAAAAAAAAGTTTTGTATACTTTATTTCAGCTAATATTTATTGACCTTTTGTTTTATTTTAAGTAAACTTAAAAGCCTTTTTTATTGGTCTAGCATTAATAACCCTGGTACCATGAAACTCTAAACTGAGCTGTACCCCATTCTATTACCTACAAACTCATGGTGTTATGAATGTATTTAGACTTGCTGTGAATGTTGTGCAGACGGTAAACCTGTCTGTCCACATTTCAACAGCTCAACACTGTGCTCTGTACCTTCGTAAAATCATCTGGATTACAAAAAATGATGTTATTTTATTTGTTTCAGGTGAACTTGACACTGGAAAGAGAAGTTGCTGGTGTATGGATAAAAGTACCTTGTGTTGATGACTTAGGAAGTTGTTATTATCCTGATGCCTGTGTGCGGCTGACCCAGCTCTTTATGACAATCCCGGAGCTCTGTCCTGAACCTAAACGTTCATCTAGCGTCCCCTGTGGCTGCCCGCTCAGAGCTGTGAGTGTGTCCTCATTCACTGAACATCCACAGCAAACGTTTATGTATTTTTATATCAGTGTTTTTAAAGTCACCGTGAAATCAAAATGGAAAATTCTTATTTTTTAATGGAATACTGTAGTGTTTATTATAAATAATTTATCTGTGCACTTCATTCTTTTGTTTTAAATTCATGTGCCCTCCTAATCTTTAATCAAAAACGTTAACCTCCCCTCCCCCTCAAAACGACTCCTCTACTCTTCCGGTCACGAGCTATGGCGCAAGGGCGGAGCTATCTGGAACTGCCAGCAGCTGCAGTGACATCAGTGACGTTTGGAATAAACGACAGGGGGAAAATCTGAAGCTGATGCTTCACTTTGTAGCACTGACACCAGTCATAAGGGAGTACGTTACCCTTAAACATTGAAAATATTTTAGGATATTACGACAACATTACCCTTAGAACATCGCAAACTAATTATTATTTTTTTCATGAATATGACAACCTGATGGAAGATGCGCTCAGTCATTCAGGCAGTCTCTCTCTCTCTCTCTCTCTCTCTCTCTCTGGAAGGATGAAGGATGAAATCAAGTCCCGCCCTCTCATTTCAGATGCTGTTTCACTCTGATATACATCACAGCAGAGAAGAAAAGACAATCGCAACTTCCGTTTCATGCCGACTTTAAGGTTAATATTTATCTGTTTTTTCCAGGGGGACTACTATTGGCCATCATCTGGTATCTACATACCAAATTTTTTACTGCCTAACAGGCTGACCAATTTCAGATTACAGATCATTTTAGGAAGCTCTGAAAAAAGAGCTGCCTTAAAGGTGGCATATTATGCCCCTTTTTTCAATATGTAATATAAGTCTCTGACGAGACATCTGTCAATCAACGTATACAGGGAAGAACCAGCCGACATTATAAAACAGTATGCAATAATAACGTATTGAGTGTAAATTATAATTTTAATTATTAAATGGATGCCACCTTATTGGTACAATAAAGCCCTCCCTACACCTACCCTAACCCTACCCGATACTTTATTTTCCACTTTTTGATTATTTCCTTAATTTTTTATTGAAAATAAATGCCTTTACGATGTGATACGAGATATGAAAAGGGAGAAAAAAAAAGTTCGGCAAGAGGCGGAATCGAACCCTGGTCGATCGCGTCAATAAGCCAAAAACAAGCACTTATCCATCTGCCCCACTGGAGCTGATGTTTTACAGCCACTTTTAACTAAATCAAATATAAAACTTATTGAAATGTTTTCAGTGTGTGTATCAGTTCTTTTTGAACGTTTTCATCTAATTTGAACAAAACCGTGATAATATTGATAATCGTGATAACTTTGGTCACTATAATCTTGATAAGAAATTTTCATACCGTTACATCCCTATTAAAACCTGGAAAAGTTAGATTTTCATGATATGTCACCTTTAAAGTCAGCTTCTCAATAGCATCAGTACTGCACAACCAACGCAATGAAATGTAGTTGTTGCTGTCATGTAGCAATCTCTTTTCCTGGCTTTTGGGAAAGTGTCAAAAAAGAGCCAAATGTCCAGGACTAATCTTGAGATGGTACGGGTTCAGGATTCAAACTCTTGTAACCTCTACCGTTCCCATCATGATTAATGCACTAATGTGATTAATGATGAGTGATGCACTAATGTGATCCAGTGGCAAAAGAAGCCAATTCAGTTACTGATAAAAAACTTTTTTTTTTAAATTGTTGTTCTTAATAAACATTCAAATCAATAACAGTTTTCTTTTAGTTATGTATTATATTTTCCCCAGTGAATCTGTAATGCTACACTAGTTTATTATTTTTAAAATGTTATTTTTCTTTGTGCCATAGCTCTTAAATCTCATTTGCACAGCTGTGTCAGTGATGTCAGCGATGCAAAATGCCCAAATAACCAAAAGTTTAAATATATGCAAATACTAATGAGATTTGAGAGCGGCAGTGGAGGGAAGTTGCTTGGACTGCTTATATGGTACTTTATTATCTTTTTTTTAGCTTGATTTCCTCTGGTCCCTGTATGATTATGTTTTATGGAGCAAAGTGCACAAAATATTGTGCTTTCCACAGAAGAATGTCAGTTAAGGCTGGAATAAACTACATGACTTTTAAAATCTGGACAGATTTTAAAACCCTATAGGCATCATTCATACACTTCATGACTTTATGTGGAAACAGAAAAACGACTGAGGATCACACACACTAACAGACTTTAAAGTTGTTCTAAATACAACAAACTCAGACAGAAACATGTACCTCATTGCTTAGAGACACATGACAACAATATGAGTTCTAAAATCGGCTCAAACATGTTTGATATTCTCCAAATAGATGGAAAAAGAGTATAAAGCTAAAAAAAAAAAACTTGAATCCGTGCCCATCAAACACTACGTGATTTTCTGTGAAACTCCAGCTGTCTAAAATCTGGCTCTGACTTACAAATTGTAATGAAAATCAAAATATAATTTGGCAAAATAATTTGAAATTATTTCACAACAGTGAAGATTTTAAAATGAAGACGTCTGTGCATTGATTACTTTCTTATGCTGATATAAATTTTTTCCCAGAATATGTTCATATGGTCAACTGTAAAACATCAGCCAGGTTTGTTCTCCTCCTGTGAACATTGTTTGCATTCCTGATTTTTCAGGCTGTCTTTCAAGAGTTGTACATGCAGCCCTCAATCCAGATGTCCAGGTGGAATACCAACCACAGCAGATTTCCCCCGAGAGCAAGACTAGCCATGTTCTTCATTTTTAATGATTGCTGAACCCAGATGTACCATCACTTGTAAAACTTTCCTGACATGTGAAATGTGCTGTTTACTAAAATGCACCTATACAGACTTAACTCTGAAGTTTAGAACTCTCAGCAGTATGCGAACAGCATAGTGTATTATTATGCATAACAATTTTATTTTTACAGTTTCAATTCAACCTAACAGACAGAATTCTCAGTAGGACTTCTATGTTTTATTTTGCCCTTTGAAAACGCAGAGGTTTTGCGAGGCCTTGAGGCTTACACCATGCCTGGGGTTGGAGGGGGAGCAATGGAAAGAATGTTATCTCCTGGCTGACTGAGAGCTTGCGTCTGGTTTTTTTAAGAGCTTTGTGGCACAAAGCACGTTCATAAAGCTTTGTGGAACATACTACTCCTGGCTGGCAGACTACATGCATTTACCATGCAGAAAATCACACCCAACAATATTAGAAATGGAGAAATATACTATGTGAACTCAAACAATGAACTTAAAGCAACTCCATGTATGTTTGTACATTTAAATATCAATTCAAAATGACTTCTAATAAGGCGAAAGGCCACATTCCCCCTAAACATCAGTTCTGGGAGTATATAAATGGCAGATTGCTTTGCGCCAGCATTAAATGCATGTGTACAACTCTCTATGGGATCCCGTTTTCGCCAGGGAATAAAGAAAAAAAAAGGTAATTGTGACTTTTTATTTCATAATTCTGACTTTTTTTCTTGCAATTCTAAGAAAAAAAGTCAGAATTGTGAGATAAAAAGTTGCAGTTACCTTTTGAATTTTTTTTTTCTGTGGCGGAAAACTATCCACTGTAATTATGATATATTTACAACAGTAAATTCCACTCAATTAACTGTTTTAACGGCAGCCATTGATTTCCTTAGTATGGATAAATAATACTATGGAAGTCATTGGCTAGTATGGCTACTGTCAACTGTCAGCATTTATCAAAATATCTTCTTTTGGTGTTCAACAGAAGAAAGAATCTCATTTAGGTTTGAAACATCATTTTTCAATTCCCATAGTCACAAAATACAAACCTAAAATCATTATTGTCCAAAAATTGTACCAAAACAATACAGAATTCATGCACGGAAATGTGTCCTGACGAGTGTTAAAGGGGTCATATGATGTTGCTAAAAAGAACATTATTTGGTGTATTTGGTGTAATGAAATGTGTTTATGCGGTTTAAGGTTCAAAAAACACATTATTTTCCATATAATGTACATTATTGTTTCTCCTCTATGCCCCGCCTTTCTGAAACACGTCGATTTTTACAAAGCTCATCGGTCTGAAAAGCGAGGTGTGCTGTGATTGGCCAGCTATCCAGTGCGTTGTGATTGGCCGAATACCTCAAGCGTGTGACGGAAATGTTACACCCCTTACCATACTGTGATGCCTTGTGATGCCATGCCAACCGGAGTGACGAGACAAAAACATTAAAACCCATTATAAACGAGGGAAATCGCATCATATGACCCCTTTAAGGAAAACAGACTTGATTTATTGTTCTCCCTTCAAATCCTGACCTCATATGTGTGATAAGCCTGTTAACTTTGGCAAATCCTATGTTAAATCCAAACATACTGTTTTATGCGACTGCTGTGTTTTTGTTCCTGTAGATAACTGGAGAGCTGATCTAGCAGACGGCTCACTTTATTATTGTCACCACTAAGCTGCCGAGTCCCTGCAGCTGCCTGTCAATGGAAAGTTTGTCATGACGCACACTTCTCAGCAACAACTGGTCTATCACTCTTATGACAGATTAGAGACCCTACTATAAATAGACAGAGTTTCGACAAAAAGGAAAGTCTCAAATTACCCAGAAGATCTGAAGTCAATGTTTCGCTTAATATATACCAAACAAGAGAGCCAAGAGGCCAAAGATAGATGTATCTCTGACACACTACTGTATGCACCATATAGAGCAGTGAATACGATGAGCTCAGATCTGCCCGTTTATATTTTCTCCACTGAATATTTGACAATATGTTGTTACAATAGGCAGTGACAGAATTGAAGAAAGGTTTAAATATCCATGCTTCTCTCTTTCTAAATGTACACTTAGTGTTTAACTCATTTGTCATTAAAATGACACTGGTGATGAAATCATAACTAGCAGCCAGTATAAACCTTGTAATGTTTACATTCAGCATGTGCATCCACATACCTCAACGCTGACTATGGATCACTGCTGTTTTGACAGTTTCTCTAAACAGAATTCCTCTACAGCAGCGGGATGACAATATGGCCGCTTAAAATACAATACAACTTACGATTCACTCTGTTGACCTGTGAGCCTCACATTTTTACTCCTCATTCAAATCTGCTGGATAATATGGCCATTTTACTGTCAGAATTCATTTCAATTTGAAGAGAGTTGACTTGGGGAAAGAAACTAGCCTACTGCTAAATTTGCTCATTGCAATGTTTTTCTATTTGACCAGATAGATAGTAACGATCTGTCTGTAGGGCCTATAGTCTATAATTAACCCTCAAACATCAAACTTTCCTTTTTAACCTTATTTTTGTATACAAGATATTTAACTGTTTACAAACTGTGATATTAACTGTAATGCACGGTGTCCATTACTTCAATGTGTTTGAGCTACCATGTGACCTGTAACTATGGCCTCCTTATGGCATAAACATAAATTAAACATTGTCAGTGAAAGTGGTTTAGCACCAAATACCCAGATCCATACATGCATATGAAGAGTTTGGTTCCAAAACGCGATAAACGCCATTTAAAAAAAAATAAAAAGAGTTCCCGCCAAAATCAGTATTGTATCTGGTCGGTATTTGAAAAGACAATTTTTAATTTTATGCAAAATGCGATATCCGCCGTGTTATTCTGTCATGTTTTCTATTTTGTTAATATTTCTATAATAAACAATGTAAAATTATTTAATAAACAATTACTTTATTTAATAAAGACTTAATTTAGCTTTATTATATTTAGGGACATTTATTTATTTATTATTTTATTAAACATTTGCTTAGGAAATACAAATGTGAAAAAACATACGCCAAAAAAAAAGAGCCAGGGGTTCAAGGATGGCCAAACAATACGGCAATTAAAATTCAAAAGAGAGAGAAAAAATACATTACATAGAAAGAAAGAAAGAAATTAGGGGAAAAACAATGAACATAATATTTAGGGACATACTATTGTATTGACCAAAAACAATTTTCATTATTTATTTATTTACTTAGCCTATTATTATTATTTATTTTTTGCATTAGAGGAAGCTGCGGTGTGCATCAGTTTACGCAGCTCTGCACAGATTCACCAATTTCCCGCTTGTTCATGTAAATGCAGCCTGCGTTTTCGGAACGCCGCGCTGACTCTGCAGTTCCCGCCCCTCTGCTCACTCTCAGCCTATTCGACAATGAGAGCTCAGCTCATATTTGAACTGCTGCAGACAGCCAAAAACTTACCAGCGACAACGGGGTAGAACATAGAGGCAGAGCAGAGAAGCATGGGTTGTCACAACAGCAAGGTTTGTGGCCAGGTCTCCCGGAAAAAGGTAGGTCGTTTTAAAAGCTCCTCAGGATGTTCACAAATAATGCAAACTCACAATGAGAGCCGCAGCAAGGTCAGAGGCGAGAAATGTTGCGGATACAGCACGTGTAAATGTGTCTGTATTATGGGAGCCACTCTTGTTTTGTTCTCTCAAATCACTTGTTACTTCCTCCCTAATGCGATGCAAAAGCTCTCATGATAGTTTGTCGACTTGTGAAAGTTTTAATTAGAAACAGATGCCGGGTTGAACAGATGAGATCTACTGTTGTTTAAAATGTGCTGCTGACATCCGTTGTGACAAATTAAAGGCGTGTTATCCAGCGTTTAAGTTTGAGCACTTTGTGCAAGCTTTTAAATTGTTCCGCATTTCGGTCAATGACAAAATCAGGATATACGAGGTGGTAAAAAAGATGAACGCCTTTTAAATGTAATTTAAATGTAGTTTTAGCCACGCACCCTCTTGTATACCTGTTGGTTTCGTACGTTTTGGAAAACATTTGTATCACTATCTGTAAATGTTATAATTTAGCGGTTTTAATGAATGTATTTTGGTACACAGCTTTGTAAATATAATTAACTTTTAGTCATAGCTAAGTTTTTTTTCTTGTTCTTGACGAACAAAATGAACGTTTTCATAAGTTACATGTGATATGTCAAGAAAAGGAAAATCAACAATTAATGACCTGATTATGTCTGTTTTATGTAGATTGCCAAAGTATTTATAAAAACTTATTTTGGATATTTATGGAAACTTTTTTTTAATTTAAGAATTTCAGTATTTTAATTTGACATTTTTTTTATTTAGTATTATGTGTGTTTTTTTAACCTAGTTATTTTGACTGTGAATTGCATTTTTTATGTATTTTTGAATGCATTAAAGGGGAAAATGTCAGTGGTTCATGTTTTTCAATATGGAATATTTTTTATACAGATATTAATTATTTTTTATTCTTGAGTACAAAGACTTTTCCTTAGGGTTATTCTATTTTACCTGAGGAAAATGTGATGTATTTTAACTGACCTTTACATGCATGCGTGAGGGTCTGCAGAGGTCTTGTCAGTTTTATGTTGGTTGTCAAACTACTTATTTAACTATTTCTGTTTTTCAAGAATTTCAGCATTTTAATTGTAATTTTCCACCTAACTCTGGGCAGTCGCACCACATAGTCATATATTGAAAATGTTCATCATAGAAGAGACATATATAGAGCCATTTATTTTAATAAATTGCATTTTAATGTTTTTTTAATGCATGCATTAAAAGAGAAAACCACTAGAACATCATTGGCACTTTAGATTTGACATTTTTAATGTAAATGCATGAGAAAAATCAATGCATTCCTGGGGCCTTCAAACATACAGGGAAATCTGGCTTTGATATTAACAGGGTCAAGCTTTCATTAGCCCAGATTGCTGAAGGATTTATATTCACTAGGCTTGGATGTGACAGACACAGGGTCCCGAGTTTCTCACTGCAAGTTTTAATGTGATCTATAAACAGCCAGAGTTCATTTGGTCCTGTTAATCACATAGCCATGTGTCAATATACTTGACATGGACAACTGGAGAAGTGTGAAAATTCTCTGAAGACCAAACAGAGAAAGCCTTACACTCACTATTACAGCCTCTATTGGAGCTGCATCAAAAGCAAATAACCACATGACGGCGAAGTGCAATAAAGCCATGGGTTCATTAAAGTTCCAGAACATTTGGTTCCCTGCCACAGACAGCCAGCAAATGCATAATAGCGTTTGTTGTGGATTAAACCGAATTATGAGATGCAAGCAGTTCCTGTTCTGGGTTTTTATTGCTGATTAATTTTTGAAAAGTAAGCCTAGCCTACTAAATTGTTTCACTATTAGAAAGTTGTAGACCTTTAAAATGCTATTCATAGTTTTTGGCCACATGACTGGCGTGGCGACCTGGAGGGCAAAACATCCATCGAACTGCAGCACAACCCTGTCAATTTTCCATCTGTTTCAAGCTACGAGTTTAAATCACCTCTCAAAAGAAGAAAAACAAAGTGATGTGAACAAACTGCAAGTTTTGGGCACTTGCGATCCATATAAAGCACTTGCCGCAGTATTTTAATGACTAAAAATAGTGGATAATTCTGTAAAAAAAAAAAAAGCATAATGTGTCCTAATGTATTAAGCGATATTAAAAGATTAAATTCAACATACACCTTACAGATGATGCAAACTATATAAGCAAGCGGCTGAGCCCAGAATATGAATGCATTTAGTCATATTAAGCATTTTCTTTAGAATGCTTTTCAATGGAAAAATGCCTTACGTGCAAATTAAGCAAGCAGATTTCGTATTCTGGCTGCATCTTTTCGTCTGTACATAGTTTTCATGATTAATAAGGTGTATACTTTAAAGAGTTTGCTCTTTTGTCTTAGTACATTAGTTCCTAATATAAACCTGATAAAAATAAGTGGCATTCAGTAGAGGAAAGCTGAATGCCCTCCAGGCGGGCGTTTCTGTACAAGTGTACATGGGCAGGATGACATAATTTGCTTTTGGTTCCTTTCAAACTGTGGATTGCGTGAAGCATAAGTGTCATGTTTTGGTTGGCTTGTGTCTCACCCTGACACTTAACCGCACATGTCTTGTCATTTCTCATTTAAACAGTCTCAAGTGACAGTGAGAATCTCAGTAGTTATTAACCAGGATGATTTGACAAGGTTTGACTCTTTTTGTTCTTGAATGAGGGTGTTGGCTTCAAAGTAGAGTTGAAGAGAAAGGTGAGAAGGGGCCATCAAGCCCCAAAATCATGGTGATCGTAGTTGAAAGTCATACTAAATGTGAAATTGTGAAATTTAACTCACTGATAGTCTTTGCTACAGCTCTCAAATCTTAAGTGAGCTGTGAAAATTTGTTTTGTTGAGAAACGCATCTCTTACCTGAACTAAACAGGAGATTTTGCTCTCAAAGGAGAGATATTTTGCACTTGTGAGTGTTTTGAGGCCGCGTGTGTAGGCTATATCTCTGCAGACTTTTGGCACGTAAGCTTCAAAATGTTAAATCACCTGTGAACGCTGCCGACCTTGAGCTCCATCTTTTGATCCAAACAATGTGTCATGTAACGTCACATTTAGAAAAAACATATTCGGTGACCATAAACTCATTAGTCAGATAGAAAAATAAACTGTAGAGAGGGGCATTTTGCTAAAAATATGCACCATATAACATATTCATTATAATTTTTACTGTTCTTCAATGTTTAATTTATGTTTGAATAAATCCATCAATTTTTTTATGACAGACACCATTTAATTGTTTATATATAAAAAAAAAAAAAAATGGAAGTAGGAAGTAGAATATATATATATAAAACAGTTATTTAAAATGGTAATATTTCACAATAATACAGTTTTACGGTATTTTTAATCAAATAAATGCAGCCTTGGTAAGCATGAGAATTCTTTCAAAAAATGAAAATTTTACTCATTTGGTAGTGAATGTGTGGGATTTAAATAGGCCTTCACACTTTGTTCGTCTGTCTGTTTTTGTTCTTATTTATATTATCAGTATGTAATAGGCAGTGACTGTCTGCAATGGGGGAAAAAATCTTATTTTGACTGTACTGAAGCATAAAAATACCTCCGTATATTCGCAGATATTTAGGAAACATGCTAAGTTCACATACTTGTTTTTCTGAAAAGCAATGTTACAGTCAGTTATTCTACTTTGAAATGTGTGTTCCGTGTCAGAATGTCGGTTTTTGTTTTGGTCTGTGTGACTCCGCCCACTGCCCGTTTATCCAATAGTATTTCGACACCCTGGGTTGCCAGTTGGTGGAAAACACAGCGTATTGCAGCCATGGAACCCAACAAACGAACTCCGAGATCACAGATTCCTAAAAAGCGTGCAGCATCTGCTCTATGAGCAGAGGAATATTAAAACACGGATAAATCAACTCATCAGCTTACAGTGTACGGCTCGTCGCCTTCCGCTGTCAGTTGCGCTCATTCCCATTTCAATCACTATCTGTCAATATTACATACCGCACCTTTTAAAGTAAATTAGATTTCACTTGTTCCACCCATTGAGAAATACAGCTCAAGTTTTCAAAGTGTACTGCACTACTGCAAGTGGTTTTTCAATGATGTCATGGTTGCGCAATCTTGAGCGCATATCTCACCGGTAATGTCAGACTGCTTTGGAATGCAACAAAAATCAATTTATATGACACTTCTGTGAAATGTTAAAGTTGTAGATAAAGCATGTAGATTGAGTTTGTCAGCTAGTTTTTGAATGATTGATCCCGTGTCTGCAATGTCTTTCAGAAAAAAAATAAAGCACAAGGAGCTGAGAAGCACATAAAGGACATCAAACTTCAGGGTGGAAGTGGTAAGTGGTTTCTCTCGATCATGTCATGGGAACATGTGCAGATGTTCTTTAGATAAACGAAAACAGAAAATGCATTGTGACTGAAAAGCTTGTTTTGCACTTCTAGATCGTGATGCGTGTGCTACGGTTATTATCTGTTCATGTGTCTTTTCAATGTCCCACGATTCCATTGTGAAGTGTGTTGTTCTTGGCAGAGCGCGGGGTTTGGTAGCGCTGATGTTGGGCTGCAGGGACCTGTTAATACTCTTGTGTTGCTGGCCGTGGGCGATTCTGGCTTAAGCTCATGGAGATATTGTTTCAGATGTATCATAGAGCAAACAATGTAGTGTTCAATTGCTCTCCCCCAGGTACATGCTCATCTGAGGAGAATCTGTTGGAGACTTATGAGTGTCAGCTAAAGATACTACATGCAGTTTTGACGGCTTCAGGAGACCAGGAGAGAGATCAGCTCCTCAAGGACCATCCTGGAGACATCTGCACTTTAGTCCACAGCATTATAGAGAAGGTAGAGTTTGAAAGCTCTTCTTATTCAAAGCCCTTTCTTTTTGTCTTGTGAATGGAATACATTACAAGTACATGTAGCTTCATGTAGGCATTCAAGAATGACTAGTATCCTGATCCCGGATTATGTCAGCGGTTATATGTTATGAAGCTGTCAGCGCCAATAAACAAGACATGCTTTTCCATTACAGCATAATTGGGAACAAGGCCGATTCTGTGCGCTGTTGTTCAGGGTTTGGGAACGTGTGCTTTGGTACATCTGTCCTTGTGCTAACCTCTGACCAACAAAGCTAAACCTGTTTGCAGGGAGGGATGTTATTCACTGCCCTGTAAAGAGGGCTGGTTTGTGTTTAAACGCAGTAGAGCACTGCTTGTTTTAACAAGAGAGAACAAAGATGGCTTATTTATTATTATTATTTATTTTTTATTTTTTTAGAACTTTGCAGACTAATTTATTATGTAAAATTATTAACAGTTAAACACAATTATATAGCAATATAATTGGGAACATTTCATAAAACATTACATTGTTTGTATAAAAAGCTATGTATAAATAATATAACCTATCCCAACCGGAAACATCTCCCAACATCTCTACAAAAAAAAAAAAAGTATTTATTTTCATTTATTTAAATAGTTTTTTGTTTACTTTTTAATAGTGTTTTTACAAGTAAAGAATTCCCCAAAAGGAGGTTTTTGTATATATATTTGTGTGTGTATATAATATTTTATATATATATATATATATATATATCTCCAGCTCTGGCCATTATCTAAACATCCTTTTTTAAGGTACACACGTAGGAACTCAGTCAGGTTTGCTTAAGTTTTACTGGTAGTTTGACAGATATTCAGATTTATTTTTCATTTTAGAATTGTAATTTTATTTGTTATTTTATAATCTCAATTGCAATTGATATTTTAATTTATCATATAATTAATTTTATAACTTATTTATTTATTGTTAATTTATTGCTTATTATTTATCTATTTATTTTATTTATCCAAGTTTTTGTATCATGTCTTAAATGGATTTATTTAGAAATTTCATTAATGGACTTAAAAAAAAAAAAAAGAAGTATCCTTGGGTAAACTTCTATCAAATATCAAACTGAAAGATCTTATGTAAACAGTATTATTTTATATATTGAAAATATTATTGCATATCATTCTTTATAGAAGTTTCTTATTTTAAAGTGCCCCTATTATGGATTTTTGAAAATGACCTTTCATGCAGTGTGTAACAGCTCTAAGTGAAGGAAAACATCCTGCAAAGTTTTAAATCTGAAAGTGCGCTGTGAATAAAGTTATTGTCTCTCAAAAGAAAGAGTCGACTCTGAATCTTTGAAAGGAGTCGTTTTTAAAACTAATCCCAAGCTGTTTCATGTTGATGTCAACATGAAACATCAACATATTGTCCGCCCACTTGTTGCGCACGCAGATTTGGGAAAACTTGACCATCAGTCGATTTTCGCGTTGGTCTGAATGAAAATGCAAATTCATTCTTTGCCACTAGGTGCCGCTTTTGGAGTGGTAAAAATAGAGGTTTCCCCGGTAATGCTGTACACAAAGCAGCACTGCTGACAAACCTGCTTTATCAGGCATTACAGGCATGACAAAATGAAAATTAGACCAATCGGACCAATCACTGCCGATTAGCGTCACGCAAAGGAGGGGTTTGGAAAAATGAATCACTGAGCAAATCGTTTGGGAGTCGTTGAGCAAGTAAGGTAAAAATAAATGCATATTATAAGACAATGAAAGTGTTTTTTGACCTTACATGCATGTCAACCTGTTGTTGGGGACTCCCAAAACCAAAATATGAACCTTTCATTACCCATAATAGGGGCACTTTCATTTGTACTACGTTGCCATGAAAATAGCCTTTGCTGCTAAGGCATTAAATAATAAATAAATGCATAATTTCTTGTGTTAACAGGTAAAGACTGAGATAACCGCTGATCTAAATGATCTTCATGAAAAACAGATGAGGAGCACCTTAGAGCAGCATCAGAGCACAACAGAAGGTCAGAGCACAGCAGCACTGTATTACTAACAACAGCTGACAAACGCAGACATGTAAAGTAACTCTGGCAAACACATTTTCTAAGAGCATAAATGTGTGTGTGTGTATGTGTGTATGTATATATATATATATATATATATATATATATATGAGAGAGAGAGATAATCTTTTGGTAAATAGTAATATTCAATAATTGTTTACTTTGCAGAGCTACAGCGATTACACAGTGAAGAGAACAATGTTTTAAATGAGTCTCATGCAGCAGCTGAGAATGCACTGAAGGTAAAACACATCTATTTGTAACATCACTGCTCTGATTTGCCTTAATACATTTGATTGAGAGCTGATCTAATATACTTCCCATGTCAAGCTAGACATACCAGACTTGATTTTGAAGTGATTGCTCTGAACTTCCTATGAACTCAGGATCAGATTGAAGGGCTGACGTCAGAGCTGAAGCTGTTCAACGAGTTAAAGCGCAGAGCAGAGGAGTCCACGCTCAAGAGAGACCTTCAGAGAAATATTGAGGTTTGTTATGATGAGAGTGGAGATCCGTTGGCAAAGCGTGCTTCAGATAGCTGCAGTATTCAGCTGTATCTGTTTTTTCATCCCAGACTCATGGCAGCCCTGGTGCGTTCTGGGAGCAGGAGCAGGAGAGTCTTTTATTTGTCATCGAAATGAAGCGTGAGCGTTTACAGGACCAGGGGAACAAGCTGCTGCAGATGGAAACACTGGTATGAACTTGTATCAGTAGTTATTGTGGGCCAATAACTCGTGATCTTCTGATTAGAGGTCAATCAATATGTATTTTTCAGTGGCAGATTCTTAAATTTTTACATTTGGTCCCTCCTTCTAAAAAAATTGGTTATATCCACTTTGTTAAACAAGTCATCTGCTTTATACTCCGTCAATGAGAAATAATGTACAGAAATAAGAGCCAGGTGCATTATTTGTGTATTCATGCGTTTATTTGAATGTGGCAAATTGACCTATTTGTTTGCATAAAGAAATGCACAAGTCACCAACTCAAACCAAAACCAGTTTTTTCCCAATATGTCAGCTATTTTGATAACTTTCTGCTTCTTGTTGTGTTGTGATTGTCAGGTGGAGAAGAATCTGTCACTGGAGGATCAGCTCCTGCAGGCTCTCCAGCAGAGCGAGGACTACAGAGTGCGGATAGACAACTACCAAAGCCTCATACAGTTAGTGTTTACTTCAATCTGCAAACTAAGTTGCAAACGAAGTATTTTAAAATAGTGAGACCAAGTGTGCACTTCTTTCTGGGTGAAAACGTTTGACAGAGTAAAGAAATATTAATTATCTAGATTTACTTTAAATGTGTCATCTTTCTCCTCTCTCAGCTTAATATGCATTTTTAGTAGGGATGCTTCGATCGATCGGCCGGAGATCGGTATCGGCCGATAATCACACTTTGACTCGATCGGTACTCACTTCACTTGGCCGATCTCACGAACCGATCGCAATTTGATGACGTCAACGCGTGATGACGCACATGATGCATGGGGACATACATGATTTGGGCGCCACAGTCATGTCATCGCCGGTGTGGAAATGCTATGATGTTTCGAGAAACAATGAAAAATTCGCTATTTGTCGTGTATGTTTTGCATGATGATATGATGAATGGATGGTTCATTTTTAACAGCAGATTCAGTGACGTTAGAGCTGATCTGCGCCTCACTGCATTCGTCTGCGGCGCATTACGGCTCCACGGGAACCGGAGCTGATCGCGGCCGATCTAGTCAGTGCTTGTGTTTATACCAGCCAGCCGCTGCACGTTTCTGAAGCGGCTCTCCGCGCTGCTTGGCTAAAAATAGTCTTTTGTGAGTTTTCACAGTGTGGAGGACGGAACAAAACCTCGTGCTGCTTTATCAGGCATATAACATGCAAGATGAAATGAAAATGACATCTAAAATTTCCTAAAGATAATCTTCCTTCAGAAATACAGTGATATAAAAACACCCGCGCCTCGTTTTGATTTTTAAACGTGCAGTACGTGCTTATGTTTATTCAACGAAGCCTTTTGGACAATCGGTCAGTTTTGATATTGTGGCGAGCACAACAAATAAATAAATGTATGGGAAACACATCCCACAGCACAACCACCTGAGCCCAACTTCAGTCTATTCATCACCTTAACTTTAACTGCGTTTGTAGCCGGCACCATAGCCAGACTGATAAACAAACACAGACCGGAAGCTAACTTTGGGCTAGGCGCGTGCGCCCGATGAAACCGTCTATAGGGAGGATCGGCTATGTGTGACAACCGCATTCTGTAACCGAACTCACACCTGTAAATTTTCAGGACTCAC